TGATGAGTTCTTATATGACCATATGTGGTATTAGTCAGTGTGAGGTATTGCTAGCAAGCTCATTGCTTTCAAAAATCAAAGTTAAATGGTTCATCTATCATCAGAATTTGTGTCTGGGCGACTTGTCTGAACATCAGTATGATTTATGGTTTGAATTGGAGGAGTCAACCATGCATGTTTCTTAGTTTATCGTTTTATGCTGTCTTCAATTAAATGTCTATAAACACAGTGATGGCTTTATGACATTGTCCATCAATAAAGACTATCAGATTTTGCATGAGAATATGTAATTTTCAGAAAAATAATGACCTTTTGACTTCTATGTGCCCCATTGTTCCTATGATACACACATGCATGTAGTATTTCTTCTAGAAAATTTTATTACCCAATTTGTCATATAGAATAATGACTTATTTTATAGAATATTCTTAATCATTTAAGACTTTTAAAAACACATAATTATCAAATTATGATAATAAGTGGAGTCGAAGTTACAACTCTTTGTTTTACATATCATATAATAAATGCTTTTATTGAAATGCAAAAAAGCAAAAACGAACATATCTGAATATTTTCTTGCATGCTGATTCAGTGTTTGATTGCTTTATGGATTCAAAAGAGTTTAAACAGATCTTTGCTAAGAGAAAATAATGTATATGATAATATTAAATTAAATTATTTCACACAAAGAATGAATCCTGGAAAATCTCGTGTTTTCATATTCTTTGGGACATTGAATAATGATACTTTCAGTTTTCATATTTATGAATGTGGTGTATAGTATTCACACTGGCAGCTTGTGGAGGGTGAATCATTTTCTGTGTAGCTCTGCCCTGATATTGCTGCTGACAGCAAGGCATTGTAAAAAAGAATTAGTATTCTAGCTCTTAAAGCTATGTTGAATATATTTTCAGCATATTTTTAATAAAAAACACAATGTAAAGGTTTTTATATACCAAATCATCTGCATGTTGTTTAAGCACAGAAGAATAGAATGAGACAATTAAGGCAGGCTTAAATATAAGATTAAACAAATATATTTTTGTGTTCATAATGGTTGCATATATGTGCTATTCTTTGGTATTGAACAAACTCTTTCTTTTCATCATATGAGAAAAAAGTGATACATATGTGGCAGGTATGTGAGGCCACCAATCAATGATTATCAGAGTTCACATCACAGTATTGGAAGTACACTAAGATCCATGTATAGCCACAGATTGAATTTCATATGTCCTTAATACATTTTCAAAAACACATTTTATTTCTCTATTATAAATTAACAGTGGTTAAATTTATGCATACATTGTCTGGATAATGAAACCAAAAATGGTCTTTGACTTCAATTATCTAGATAATTCAAGCAAGTGAAAATTACGTGTAGGAATGAAACTATTAGACATCATTCTAAATACTAAAAACCAACTACCTAACTAAAAGAAATATTTTGCATGCCCTACATCTGCATCATTGGAAAATATAGTTATAAAATTGCTAAAGGCCAAACACAAATATAGATATCAATATTTAAATATTGTTTTTCTTGTTATTAGAATAGAATTGGCTGGCTACCTCCTTCTTAATGCAGTTATTTTAATTGGATTGTCTAAATCAATCTGAAGACATTGGGAAACAAAGATTTCAAGGACTCTTCTAAAGTTTTGATTATATCTATAGGAAAATTTTATCAGTAGTAAAGAGAGCTTTTTTTCTAAAAGACAATTTGTAATTGCAAGACATTCTCTAGCGTGAGCTTTAGGTTTTCAATTCAGTGTTCTGTGCAGTATAGTCTGTGGATATACTCTTTGACTTGCAAATGTTCTGGGAGAGTATTTTAATTTTGCACCTTTATTTTGATGGTAATCTAATGTAAAAAGAGTGATAAGTGTAAAATTATCATTTTTCAAAAAAATGAGTTATTTATTTAAAATATTCTAGTTTCTTAGTCACTTTGTCAAACTTTGTCCTGGATAATTTTTCTCAGGTATGAAACATCCTTAGGAGGAAATGACATCCTCTGATGCCAAAAAATTGTGAGCTAAATAGGCATTTATTCCTTTTAAAAGATTATTTAAAAATGTGCCCAGTATAAAGCATAAATAAACTTGGAAGTGAAACATTTTAAATAATCATTCTATTCTTAATCAGTAAATTTTCTAAATATCCAAGTTTCTCTTAGCTGCTCTAATTTGAAAGTGCTATTTTGAAGGAGTATGGAAAATAACTGTTGGCACTTCAGCATCATGATATCAGATGTTCCCTTTTTGTTTTTAAAATAACATTTTTTAAATAATATAGATTCGTTATTGTATATTGGAAAATTTTCAACATATGAATATAATAAATTTTTAAATTACTCTAAACCACCACAGTGTATGCGTGTGTGTGTTTGTGTGTGTGTAGTGAGATCGATTGAAATACTGTGGTTTGTCAATTTTATATATTTTCTTCTTAACATTTTGTCACATAGTTTTCCTGTCATTCAAAGTTTTTCATAAAAATCAACTTAAAAACTTTTTTGCATCCTATGTGTAATCTAGCTATGGATAATTTTACCAATGAGTTATGATCATATATATGTTGTTTAAATTTTTCAATATTGTAAAGCTTCAAATAAACATCTTTATAGATAGCTCTTTATTTTGTTTTATTATTTTTCTATTTCTTTATTTAGGTAAATACATATTTATGATGGATTTAATCATACTATGATAACTAGTCAAATATAAATAAATATATACTGATACTTGTTTCGAATATTTTTTGGTAAAATAATATTGCTAATTTTAAAAGCATATTTTGATTTTTGCGAGATTCAAGGAAATACTGTCTAGGTATTTAAAATCCCACAAAGAAACTGATTTTAGTCTGCCTTAACATAAAATCTTTTACTGTCTTTAGCTATTTTTGGTATCATCTAAATATTATAAAAGAAATTGTTTTCATTTTTGCCCCCCACCTTTGCTTAGCCTCATTATATGTTTACTTGGTACTGAAGATGCTTTATATATACAAGTGTCATGAGGCCACTAACTTCCCAAGCTAATCAATGCTTCTTGTTGGGAAAGCGAACATAAGCAAAAAGTAACTTTTGATTAATGGAAACATGTATGTACCAGTAGCTTATCAAAAGGCTAAACAAATGAAATGTATTCCACTCTTTGTCTTACTTAAGTGTATTGCACTTATAGAAGATTCAAAGGGAAATATTTCCAGCATTAATGTATAAGATATGTTTAGAAATAAAGCTAAAATAATTGTGTTAAATAGAAACTTTTTAATAAAATGATTTGATTGCTGAAGAAGGGAGACAAAGTCATAATTTGCACTTACATTCATTTTTGAACAGAGTTGCCATTTAAATAATAAATATTTGCATAATTTCTGAGACAAGGGTTATTTTTATTAACATATTTGTGAATATGTAGACATGGATGTAATAAGTATTCTTGAAAGAGTGACCTTTTTATATACTAATTTTCTCAAATATAATTTTTATATGTTATTCATGACAAAATGTTTTATTTTATTAGAAACTTACATAAATGTTCAAATCAATGATAAGAATTTTTAGGTATTAACTTATATATGGTACTTACATTTCCTACTTTGGAGGGTTAGAGAATGTTTTGCTTAAAATATGTGACCTAGATTAAAATTCTTTCAAACGTAGAACAGATACTAAAAATAATGATGTTTTTATTGTTTTGTAAGAAGGTCTACTCTTGCACTAAAAGGATTCTGAAAAAAGAGAGATTTTTGCTGATTTTCTTTGTTTGTTTTTGGGGTTTATGTGTATGTGTGCATGTGCGCGTGTGCTTTGGAGATTAGGGCTGCAGTATGTCTGCTCAGCTATATTGATCTCTTTATTAAACTCAGTTGTTTCTCCAACTTGCCTCCAGTCTCTTCATGACTTTTTATATCAAGCACAAAATT